ATGATAAAAATACTATGGCGATGTCTGTCATTATCCAACATACGCCATGTTTGATGTCCCGTCTCTCTCGAAACTAACCTCACTAACTTGACTATTTCACACTCCACTCAACCGCGCGCTCGTCGCAACTGCGGAGACCCCTTAAGAAACTCACAATTTTAAAATGTTGATATCTTCGTTATAATAGTAAAGTGGGATTAAAAATCGCTTGACTGAGCCTTCGGATGGTTAAAAAACAATAAAAATGTATAAATTATAGTAACATCTTAATATTTTTCAGAACCGTCGGTAATTAAAAGAATAGGTAGAATGGAAATAGCACTGGATCCTATGATCGTTTTGCAACCAACTATCAACTGGTAACGGACTAAACGGATTAAAAAATCATTTAATAGGTTGGACTGTCCAATTGAAATACAATTTTGTGTCTCGAAATATTTTTTAATGTTTTTTTATCGCAAATAGAATACTCACGATGTAATTAGTTTCGATATAACCTTTCCATATCATTCAAATTTCGAGATGAGGATAGGGACACGTGTTAAACCTGCATGGGGACAAATGAGCGAGCGTAGGGACATGAGACTTTCCGCGTTTATAGATGATTATTTATTAAAGAATAGTAATTATCACGATTAATGTAAGTGAATTGTAATTTTGAAGTTTTTACTTTCTGATATCGAATTTAAAACATCGCATCTTTACACTCATTTCAATAGAAATATTGAGTTAATGATGCACTGTTAAAAATTTTCCATTCCAAATTCTGAAAATTTTTATCGTGTCCAAGTTCCACTGAAATTTCAGGAAATCTTGTCATTTAAAAAGCAAATATTCCGTTGATGTTCTGATCAAATGGTCTGGAAATCAATAAAATACTTGATTTTTAAAAATCACGAAAATTCAGGGAAAAATTGCGAATGAATGTCATTTTGTTTCTGAACATTCATGTTCCACTGAAAATTCCATCAAGTTGGGAAATTTCCATCTCACTCCCACTGAAAACTCATAGATTTTCGCGAATTCTACTTAAAACTTGAAATTTCATCACCATATTTTCCCGAAATTCGATTCAATATCTCATGAGATTTACTATAATAATTCCCATAAAATTTCGATAAAATTTCTAACAGTGTGTGTTTCATCTTAGCTACACGAACGTAGGATCATTTACCTTACGAGTTATTTAAATAAATCATTCATTTCATTTAAATAAAGTTCATTGAATCCAGAAAGAACGAAACTTCCACCGATGCTGAACGCGTTTCCTAATTGACTTCTAAAACATCAATCTGTAATCTAAAATTTCAACATCATCCATCATTTCAAAAAACCTCCCAAATTTGGACTCAACCCATTTTGTTGACTTACCCTTCATCAAAAACAGAAATGAAAGTTCGAATAAAAGATGAAAATCAGCTGCAATTTATAATCCCAAAATTATCCAAATCGCCACATTTAGAATTCCCACCTTATTTCAATGCAAAAACTCAATATTATTCCCTCGTATTTACCCAGCTTCATACTCTCCCATCTGCCAACGCCAATATTATCGCAAAATAAAATCTAAATCCCGCTCATGAGTCTGAAAATGTCCGCAAACTCTATAAATACCCTCGCCATCTATTTTCAATCCAGTCGCCATTCATCATTTGATTTTGAAACTCCACTTCATTCCCCATGTAACAAACACATCGCAGCTAATTTCAAATCCCGCTGCATTCAGCCAACGCGAAAAAAAAAATAAAAGCCAACAGAAACATCGTCAGGACAGCGAAGAAGAGATCTATTGCGCATGCGCACTCGATCCAGTTGCGCGATCACGATCGATACATTTTGCCCCGGCATATTCACGTTATTTTTTCCCTTATTCCCTCATTCCCAATGACTAAATGGCATTTCGTAACGCAGATGAACACGGTATTACAATCCCCCTGCATACAGAAGTACTGAATCACGTGGGGCAATGGCGTCATGCTACATAAAATTGTACATAACTGCAGCTGAGGTGCGTTTTCATCTCCCTCATGATCACCTACGTTTGTTAAACACGTATGTACAACAATTTCAAGTGTTTACCAATGACGAGTCATCGTGCAGAGATTTTGTTTTTTTCTCCTCTTATATGAGGTGTTTTACCGTCTGTGTCCGATTGGCTATGGCCAACTGCCACAGAACACAACAGTACAAGCGCTAACCATTCGAATCGGTATCACAAGTAGGTCAGCCATTGCCATCGTGCCTGTTGCGTTGGCCGCTTTCTCTTTGGTGTGCTTACCTTCATACTTGCACGATGAGAATGAAACGAGGGAGACCAAATTACTCATATTGTGAATTATATTTGTTTAGGCATTGAAAGGGGAAAGGAATATTATTAGCGAGATTATTATCGGGTTTCGAGGGATTGTAGGGTCAGATGTGATAGCCATTGGTGGTGATTAGATTCAGGGATTTTTTCGGGGTTTTGAATTTATGAGTTTTATCAATTGTTTCTACACTATTTTAACATTCCATGGAAGGTATATTAATTAATCTCATGAGAGTGACATTGAATCGGATTTAGGGAAAAATGATTATGAAATTTCGAGTTTCGAGTAGAATTCACGGAAATTCATGAATTTTCAGTGGGAGTGAGATGGAAATTTCACAATTTGAGTGAATTTTCAGTGGAATAGGAATATTCAGATACAAAATGACATGAATTTTCCATTTTTCTCTGAATTTTTCGGATTTTTCTGCATTTTCACAAAATAAGTGAACTGAAAAATCAAGTATTTTATTGATTTCCAGATCACTTGAGCGGAAAATCAATGGAATATTTGATTTTTCAAAGACCAAATTTCTCAAAATTTTAGTGGAAATTGAACACAATCAAAATTTCCGGAATTTGTGTGGGTATATTTTTAAAAGATCAAACAGCTGGATAATTCTAAATACTTTAATCGAAATATTTTATTTACAGTTATTATTTTACAAACACTTCAAGAAAAACGGCTAAATCGTCTAATGCCTCCGATGAGGACTTCGTCTACTTCTTCGACTTCAATATGCGTCTAATCGTTCCCGACAATGAAATGCTCTCTCCGTTGTACCCTCATCCCTTAAATGTACTCCTTCTTCCCTCCTAGCGTCCTTCCCCCACTACTACGCACTTTCTGGGCCTCACTCGTCATTTCCGTATTTGGAAGTTTTCCCCAATCGTGGCAGCGTGGGTCAGCTAGGGGTCGTGCGTCATTGATGAGGGTTGCTACGGCGTTACCATAATAAAACTATAAAACTCTACGTCTAGACTTAATCCTACCTTAATAAAATATTTTCCTTAACGTCTGAAATACCTTTACAATGTAGCTACCCTTGCGTAGTTCCCCAACGTCTAGACTATAACTAAACTGTACACGTAATTCCCCACGATCGAGACATTCTTTTCCGTTACTACATTTGGCACGGAAAATTCAACCGAAAATTTTTAAGTGAACTAGAGGCCTGAGTGCAAGTGATAATTATTGCGGTGATGTCATCGATAGCTAGGGGAAATTCCGCCGGGAAACGTAATAGGAAAATCATCTTTGATTGATTAACTTTGGAGTCGATACCAGCCATTCTTTTTTGTTTTGTTTTTAATGAAACATTGGTCTTTGGAATATCTCAGAAAATTATGGAGAGAAAAAAGTTGTCACGTAGCAAATTTGGAATTGAAAGAATTATATTTTTCTCTCGATGTTATTTGTGGTCTATATTACACTGAGATAAAAAATGAGTTCTGCCAAAAAATTATATTCTCTGAAGAGATCTTGTGTAGAATCAATTTAGTTGAGGACAAAAACGAAAGCTTCTACAATTACTCATTTTGTGGATTATATTTGTTTAGGCATTGAAAGGGGAAAGGAATATTATTAGCGAGATTCTAATCAGGTTTCGAGGTATGGTAGGATCAGATGTGATAGGCATTGGTTAGATTCATGGATTTTTTTTGTTTGTTTTTTTTTGATTGTTTTTTTTTTAATTTACGAGTTTTACCAATTGTTTCTGCAACTAGAGGCTGGAATAGAGGTGATAATTATTCCGCTGATGTCATCGAAAGGTAGGGGAAATTCCGCGGGAAACGTAATAGGAAAATCATCTTTGGTTGATTAATTTTGGAATTGATACTAGAAATTCTTTTTTACCAAACATTGTTCTTTGGAATATCTCAGAAAATTATGAAGAGAAAAAAGTTGTCACGTAGCAAATTTGGAATTGAAAGAATTGTGTTTTTCCCTCGATGTTGTTTGTGCTCTACATTACACTGAGAGAAAAAATTTGTTCTGCCGAAAAATTTCAGGGATCGGCATCAATCATTATTTTTGTAATATTATGAGAAGTGGCACCTTACAATAATTAAGGTTTACTCATCTTCATTAAAATTTGAAAAATAATAAAATAATTGATAATTAACTTCCCGACCCAAAAAGAGGAATTCGTATTAAAATATTCAATTGATTATAAATTAAGTAATTGATGATGTGGAATTGTCAATTGTCTATTGAGTAAATGATTCTAAATTTCATAACAGCATTTTTTGATTAGTCAAATAATCGTCAATCCTCCGAGCTCAATTATTGATTGATAAATTGATTCGGAATTCGAATATTTAATTCATGATCAATTTAATAATTTAAAAATTGTTGGGTAATATTAACCAGTTAACAAATCCAAAATTTTACTCAATTTAAAATTGATGATTTTACCGATGTCTGTCTCAGTGTAGTTTGCACTAGTGAAGATTTCATTTTTCGATGAAAAAAAACTCTTTTTTAATATCTCTGAAGTCGATATCATCATTTGCCGTAAAACAGTTCTCTTATTTCTTCGCTTGATGGAATAGTGATGATGATTCCGTCGTTATTTGAGTTCTAAACGGCTTTCTATGAATAGAAAGATAGAAATGCTACTCCGTTTCCTTTTTTTCCACTTCAGATAATTGATTTTTCACGTTTTATTTCTCTTTTACATTGTCGCAGTGTGGAAGTATGCTGTACGCACAATTGGAGATTTGGAAAGCTGCGGTTGAAGAGTCACCGAGAAATACACTTGCTGCATCCTGGAGTCCAGCTGGCGTTGTGCAGCCAGCTAGTAATGGGAATCCCAGTCCATCGTCCTCGATGACGAGCGCCGGACCTGCCAGTGTTACCGCTTCGTCTTGTAATATGGATTACAGTGATGGTAATAGCCCCATTCCTTTGGACTTCCCTTCAATATTTACTACAAATGGAATGGGAATGTTAAGCATGTACTACACCTTTTCGGTCAAAATTCACGTTTTTTTCATTTTTCTGGCAAAATATTGATCGCATTGACGCGAAATATCACACCGTTTTTGCGTTTTATTAGTATTGACTGACTCACGAGGTTTCACGGTAGTGCAATTATTTTTTTACATTTTTTCTAAAGTTTTGTGAATTTCCGAAAAGTTTTAGAAAAAACTAAGGAACATGATTGCACGATCATGAAATTTCGTGAGTCATTAAGTAATGATAAAACGCAAAAACGCGAGATTTTTTCACGTCAATCCGATCAAGAATTTACCAAAAAAATTTAAAAAACGTGAATTTTGGCGAAAAAAGTGTAATACATCCTTAAACTTTGCTTCTAGAATTATTGAATAAATGTTCATACACGGAAAAAAATATACCTGAATTGAATTGGGGGATGGGTATTTCAATTCGAATATTATTTTTTTGTATCAGGCCGGGGTGTAGAAAGCCCTCTTAAGTATAATACAAGTGTCAGAATATTAGGGTCAAACAGTTTTAAGGGTCAAAAAGTGGATACCCACTTTTTTTACTTTTTTATTCTGACTCTAATTTTTTTATCCTAATATTCTGACCCTCTTTTTTTAACCCTAACATTCTGACCCTCGTTCCCTCACCATTACACTCAGGCTCTCAGTTTTTGACTAATATTTCGACCCTCATTTTTTAACCTCCACTTTTTGACCCCTATATTCGCACACTTAGTGGCTGACCCTTATATTATACTTCAGAGCGCTTGGTACAACCCGGGCTGACACGAAATAATCATCCTCGAATTGAGACACCCATCACCCATTCGAGTATAATAAAATATATTTGAACGAGATCGGTCGCGCGTGCTACGCATGCGCCTTCTCATCTCCTCACGTAGTGGCGCTTCGGTTTCAGTTTTACGCTGACAGTGATTCGAGATTTTCGAGATATATCGAGATCGATTTTCTTTCTCCTTTTTACGATAGGATCAAGTATATTCTATACTCGAATCAAGAATAATATACTTGATTCTGGTATAAAATATACTCACTTTAAGTCAATTTTTTTTCCATGTATGAATATTCTCATGCCATTGATGAACGGTTTAATTATACGCTGAGGTGAAACCTGCGATAATTGTGTTGTTTATGACTCTTCACTTGAAGAGATACTAATTTTGTTGCTATTTTTAGCATCAATAAATATTGAATGGCTCGCTACTCTAGAAAAAGTTGGAATATGAATCAGTCAAAGAATAATAACCACCGCCGCTAATTCATTCGTTTCAAAAGTGTAGCTGGGTAACTGCTAATGAAGTTAAATCTCTTTAAATCAACTCATATATTATATTCGGCAGCTACCTCCATAAGCAAAATTTATTTATTTTTATTATATTAAAGTATCAAATTAAATTCAAAAGAACTCGCGTTAAGGCGTACACAGAGTGTTCCCAAATTAAGCTGCAATCGTGTGAGTAGCTCGGGCGGGAGGGGGGGGGGGGGTACT